TTTTATTTATTTATTTCACTCAAACACAAAAAAATACAGATACAGAATAGAAAGTATTTGAGTGAAGCGAAACCCGATATACAAACGCCCCAACGAGCGATTTACCGGGATGGGATACACGTATTGAAGATTGAGAACAGAAGTTTCGGATTTTATTTTTTTTTAGAGCAGTCTGTTGGGCACACTTGCGAGTAGTTCATTGTTGTCGAGAGAGTCGAGAAAATTCCTGAAGCGGGAGGCTGAAGTGTTCATGTCGAATCTTGAGCACAGTCTGTTCCAAATAGGAATGACTGTACTGAAGAAACTGTTAAAAAACGAGGACCTGTCTGTATGAGTCTCATTGGAAAACGAGGTGAATCAGTTCTTCTGAAGAAATTTTTCTGCGCTTGGAAAATGGTAGGAGCCCAGAACTAATTTTTGGAGAGTTAGTAGAGAAATGATTATTCTCCTTCGGAAAGCATGAACAGAGCCGAGTACACTTAGACGGTCAGAATATGAATTAAAACGAACATTTCTTCTAATAAACACCTCTCTGGTGAAGAAACGGAGAGGTTTTTCAAGTTGGGAGGAGAGGGCACTGGTTAGGGGTGGGTTAAAGACTTCACAGGCGTATTCGAGGTAAGGACGTACATAAAGATTGAAGAGAAGCTTATATTGCGGTAAGCCGACATGTGAAAAAGCCTTAAGAAGTTGACGAGATTTCAACATAGCAATGTTGACAACATGATTAATATGAGAATCGAAGGTGAGTCCTTTATCAATCAAAAGACCAAGGTCTCTAACCACACTTTCAGATCTTATAGGGTTTCCATTTACTAGATAAATGTTCTCAGGATTGTTTCTACCTAGGTGAAGGACGGTTGTTTTTGTTGCCAGCCAAAGGCAGACCCCATGTTTTTGGACCATTCCAATAACTTGTTGATATTTTTCTTGAAGTTCGATAGAGTTATTCGAAGAGATTTTGAGATCATCCGCAAAAAGGTAGGAAGTCACAGAGCTGTCAAAAAAATACTAGGAAGATCATTGATGAAAATTAAGAAAAGGAGGGGCCCCGTGACAGTTCCTTGAAGTACTCCAGAAACGACGTTAAATTTTCTTTCGGAAATAACTCCATCTATGAGGACACTGGAAGTGCGGTCAGATATGAAATTTTTGAACCATTTTATCATTGTTTCACTCAGACCGAATGCTTTGAGTTTAGCCAATAAGAGGTTGTGCGGAACAAAATCGAAGGCTTTCATGAAATCAAAGTAAATAACGTCAATAAAGTTGCCTCTGCTGATAGAAGATTTCCAATTTGCAATGCTGTCTAGAAGGGCCAACATGCAAGATCTATTATTTAGAAAACCAAATTGTCGTGGGGAAAAGGAGAATCTGAAATGTTTTTTAATGTGTGAAGCAATCATACGCTCCATAAGCCTCGCAAGTGGATGTGTGAGGCTTATGGGCCTGTAATTTTGAGGATCTGATTTTTTTCCTTTTTTGTGTATAGGAACGATGTATGATTGCTTCCACGCTTGTGGGACATAACCAGAGAAGAATGAATCAGAAAATATGATCGACAAGGGAACACATAAGGAATCGGCGCATTTTTTGAGAAGAAAGAAGTTGATATAATCTGAAGAAAACCCTATCTTCGGAGACAATTTGGAAATAAACTTATGAACATTCATAGGTGTAAAATCGGGATGAACGGCAGAGCTTCTAATGCATGGAAAAATGGAAGGAATGTCATAGTTCTCAAAGTTGCGGTTGGAAGAGAAGACATTGAGAAAAGCGGTGGATTTTTCGGCTGTGGAGCTATAGATTACGTCATTAACAAGTAGAGGAGGCAGAGAGGGAACTTGTTTCATTTTTCGGGAAACATATCTTACAATTTTGTTCGAATTATTAGATTTAATTACATTAAGTTCTTGGCGTTTGAGGAGGCGTGAGACTTTCTTTCTTAATAAAGAAAGTGAACTGTTAGCATTTGAGAGGTGACGCTCTCGCCTTCTCAAATTAGCTCTTTTTCGAATAAGTCGTCTAATACTCCAACGATTTGAATTAGAATGATAAGGGATTTTAAGAGGGCAAAATTGTACAATAAGTTCGTTGACAACTTTTGTTAAATGTTGGTACTTGTTTTCTACAGAAGAAAAATATGACAACTGTCGATCCCAGTTCCGAGTGAGGAGAAAATCGTTGATGGCTACGTAGTTACCTTTCCGATAATCAATTTTTGGGGAATGAGGAGGAGACGGATGCATGGAAGCCATTTTCAAGTTAAAAGAAACTCCTGTATGATCTGTAACAATTGGTGGATGAACTGGGGATATGGACGGTATAAAGTTTGAGCAATCAGTGAGAACTACATCAAGTATAGACCTGCTACCAGAAGAAGCAATGCGTGTTGGAAAGTCAACAACTTGACTGAGACCGTTGTTACTAGAGAATTGAAAAAATGTGTTATTGAAGCTAGCAGAGTCACCGCTCCAGCAGATATTGGGTAAGTTTAGATCACCTAATATTATGTTGTTAGAAGGGCTCAAAAGTAGAGAGAGGTTATTGATGAGATAATTAGTGAACTCGGCTCTAGCATCTGGTGCTCTATAAAATAGAGTGAAACGGTATTTAAGTCCTGGGCAAATTAAGTCAAAAGATACAAGCTCGCAGTAATGCTTCAGATAAAACTGATCCAACCTGTTATCCAACTCGACAACTTTCAGGTGTTTTTTGTAGAACACGAGCACTCCGCCTCCAGACTTTTTGAAATGTTCCGGACGCCGATCGCAACGTATATGTAAAAAAAACTCGTTAGCAAGTAAAGCATCAACAAACGCGGAATTCAAAAACGATTCAGTAATGAAACAAAGGTCATAATTTTCCGAATCGAGATAGTTAAGTAAGATATTGAGTTTAGAGAGAGACAAAATTGATCTAGTATTAATGAGTAAACATTTGAGGTCAAAAGATTCGACTTTTTTCACATTAGAGTTATTATTCACATTAGAATTTATAGAATTTACATTAGAGTTAGAGTTTAAAAAAATATCATTCACATCAGACGAAATATCATATACATGAGTAGAAAAAAGATCGGGCCGCGAAACTGATGGAGCCGCTATGAAGGGCTCAACCACGTCCAAACCATCCGTTCGGGGGGTAGAAAGTAAATCAGGAGGATGAGAATCAAATTGACCACGGATGGCGGGAAGGAGTGGGGGGGAGAGTGGACGAAATGACCGAGGTGTATTCGGCAAGCGCTGAAGAAGTTTTTGACCTATGCCTCCATGGCACAGGACTCGGGCGCGGGAGTCTTGTTTACGGCGGGCGCGTCACTTTTTGGTTGGCGCCGCGTCATCTTCACGAGACCAAACTGTAAACGGTCTGGGAGTGTCCGACTCAACGATTTCCAAATCGCGCACGTAAAACTTGAAAATTCCCGCTTTAACGTTTTCTTCATAGGCTTTTTTCCTCAAGCTGCGTAATAAGGACAATTCAGTAAGCGTCATATCTCTACGGCAGCGAGGAGCAATTTTTTGTGAAAACGGCATGTTTTCAAGTGTATGCCGGAAACGACGGATAAATAGATCACGAACCCGTGTGGATTCAAACTTGATTTTTAGAGGTCGACGTTTGGAGTCACATTCATGTCGGAATACTTCAATCGGACAGGGCAGTTCGGCTTCGATGCACACGTCGTTGATGAAAGATTTGTCGGAGTCGTCTTGTTTTTTGTCTTTGGAGTCGTCGAGGCGTTCAACAACGGCCAGGTAACTTTTCTGGTTCATAGAAGCGACTTCTCTGGAGAGTTTGACACGTGAAGACAATTTAACAATTTCGGGAACCGAAGACGGCTGGTCTTGAGGAATGGCTGTAGATGGCAGAGAGGTTGAACTTATCGGAAAGGACAGCTTGAGAGTCTTGTTTTCCGCTAGGAGCACTTGGTTCTCTGCATTCAGGAGCGTACATTGGGCGATAAGTGTGGCATTTTGCTTGATGAGGTCGGCAAAACGAAGTTCAAGCTCAGCATGAGCTTGTTTGATGGCTTTGTTGTCGGACAAAACACGTCTAAGAAGAGCACGGGTGTCCAACGTATTTAGATCATCATCTTCATCAGGAATGGACGAGAACGAATCATCCCTGACTTCAGAATGCGGGCGTTTTTTAACACCATCGGTCATTGTCCAAAAAACAAGGGGAAAAAACAGGGCCGCGAAAAAAAATTTGAGAGCGCAAGGAGCCCGACCACACAAGAAAGGCAAAAAAGGTCAGACTGGCAAAAAAGGTCAGACTGGCAAAAAAGGTCAGACTGGCAAAAAAGGTCAGACTGGCAAAAAAGGTCAGACTGGCAAAAAAGGTCAGACTGGCAAAAAAGGTCAGAATTCCTCATTTTAATATTTATTTTTTAAAGTCAGTTTCTTTTTCCGAAGCCAATCCAAAAGCGGTGGAAAGCCCCTTATGGACCAAACACTTGAAAATACTCGAAAAAGGCCTTTTCAAACCCTGACCACGACGCGTCACGAGCCATTCCGAGTGCGACCAAAGACCTTTTTTTCTAGATTTCCCTGATTTTTGGTATCATTCTGATTCCAATTTTAGTGGTCCCTGAAGGGAATTTTAGGTTTAGTGGGTCCTTAAGGGAATTTGAGGTTTAGTAAGTCCTGAAAAAGGCCTTTTCGAATTCTGACCGCGACGCGCCCCGAGCCATTCCATGTGCGACCAAAAAAACTTTTTTTTCTAGATTCCACCAATTTTTCGTATCATTCTGATTCCAATTTTAGTGGTCCCTGAAGGGAATTTGAGGTTTAGTGAGTCCTGAAAAAATCCTTTTCAAACCCTGACCACGACGCGCCACGAGCCATTCCGAGTGCGACCAAAAAACCATTTTTTTTTTCTGGATTTTACTAATTTTTCGTATCATTCTGATTCCAATTTTAGTGGTTACTTAAGGGAATTTTAGGTTTATTGGGTCCTGAAAAAAAACCTTTCTGAATTCTGACCGCGACGCGTCACGAGCCATTCCAAGTGCGACCAAAAAAACCATTTTTTCTGGATTTTACTATTTTTTTCCGATAAAAAAACCTTCTGATTCCATTTTTTTCCAGACTATAAAATGTTTTTAAATTCATTTTTTTCTGTTCCCAACAGCCATTGTTCTCTGAGTTTAATCAACCGAAATTCCGTCCTCTCGTTTAATTTTTCTCCCCTCCCTTTCGACGGATAAAAAGTCTAATTTCGAGTCGTCATGCGTCATAAAATGGGAAGAGCAAAAAAAGAGAACAATCATAAAAAAATGAGCAAAAAACGAGAAAAAAACAGAGAGAAAGCCAAAGCCACGGCGAAATTTGATCAGAAAAACCCCAACTTCTCCTTTTTTCCCTTTTTTCAATTTAGGAAGTTTTTTTCGAAATTATGGATATGTTCCGAAATTATGAATATTTTTCGAAAGGTTTTGAAAAACTCTTAATCCAAAAAAATTCAACTTTATTTTTGATTAGAATTTTCGTTTTTCTCAGTATAATTTGATCAGGAAAAATCCCAAATTTTTTTCTCGTTTTTTTCCTTTTTTTCAATTTGGAAAGTGTTTTCTTGAAAATTATGGATATGTTCCGAAATCATAGATATTTTCAGATGGTTTTTAAATTTTTTTAAATTCAAAAAAATCAACTAAATTTTTGATTCAAAGAATCATTTTCTCTGTATAATTTGATCAGAAAAAAATACAAATTTTTTTCGTTTTTTTCTTTTTTTCTATTTAGGAAGTGTTTTTCTTGAAAATTATGGATATGTTCCGAAATTATATATATTTTTCAGATGGTTTTTGAATGTTTCGAATATGAAAAATTAACTAAGTTTCGATGGAAAAAAATCATTTTTCTCAGTATAATTTGATCAGAAAAAAAATTCTAAATTTTTTTCGTTTTTTTCTTCTTTTTTTCCAGTTTGGGCAGTTTTTTTACGAAGTTATGGGTATATTCCGAAATTATGAATATTTTTCGATAGGTTTTGAAAACTCTCAATCCGAAAATCAACTGTATTTTTGATTAGAAGTTTCATTTTCTCAGTGTAATTCGATCAGAAAAATCCCAACTTTTTCTCGTCTTTTTCCAATTCAGGGAAGTTTTTCGAAATTATGGATATGTTCCGAAATTATAGATATTTTTCAAAAAGATTTTTGAATGTTCTTAATCGAAAATTCAACTTTATTTTTGATTAGAATTTTTCATTTTTCTCAGTATAATTTGATCAGAAAATCCCAACTTTTCTCATTTTTCCTTTTTCATTTTTGGAGTTTTTTTCCTGAAAATTATGGATATGTTCTGAAATTATGAACATTTTTCGAAAGGTTTTGAAAGCTCCTAACCCAAAAAAATTAACTGTATTTTTGATTAGAATTTTCATTTTTCTCAGTCTAATTCGATCAGAAAAATCCCAACTTTTTTTCTCGTTTTTCTTTTTTTCAATTTAGTAGTTTTTCGAAATTATGGATATGTTCCGAAAATTATGAACATTTTCGAAAGGTTTTAAAAAAACTCTTAATCCGAAAAATCAACTAAATTTCGATTGAAAAAGATCATTTTTCTCAGTATAGTTCGGTCAGAAAAAGTTCCAAATTTTTCGTTTTTCTCAATTTTGGATGTTTTTTTAATCGAAAATATGGATATTTTTCAGAACGTTTCGAACTTGCTTTCTAAAAATTAAATGCCTTTTTGATTTAAAAACATCATTTTTCTCAGTGTAATTTGATCAGAAAAACACTTCAAATTTTTTTCGTTTTTCAGTTTGGGCAGCTTTTTACGAAGTTATAGGTATATTCCGAAATTATGAATATTTTCCAAGAGGTTTCGAACTTTCTAAAGTTAAAATCAAATAAATTTCGATTGAAAAGATCATTTTTCTCAGTATAATTTGATCAGGAAAATCCCAACTTTTTTTCCCTTTTCAATTTGGGAGTTTTTTTCCTTGAAATTAGGCCTGTTTTTTTGAAAAATTTTGCAATTTTTTTAAAAACTTAAAAAAATTAATTGAAGGCATACTGAAAATCCCCATTCATCAGCTGTGAAAAAGAAGGGCCAATTTTTTTCCCCTTTTTTTCCTTTTTATCTCAATTTAGGAATTTTTTTGTAGAAAATGTGGTTTTTTTCTTAGTTTTTAGAAGTATATGAACTTTAACTTCAAGAAATCAACTGGATGTTCAGTTAAAACCAATTTTTTCAATTTTTTTCCAATTTTTTTCTTCAATTCGTCTTATGGTTAGATGAAAAAAATGATAAATTTTTTTAATTCGGTTTGAATTAATTTTTCAATCTTCGATTACAACACCAACTGAGAAACATCCATAAAATGTAGTTCTCACCGAAAAAAATCAAAAAAAGAAAAGAAAATAACATCACAAAAAAATGTGAGATTTTTCCCAATTACTCATGTTTTTTTCCAGACTTCCTTCTTGATAATTTTTTTGAAGCCCTTGAAATAAAAATTTTTAGTTTTTGAGTACTGATCCTTAAGAAACCTCAAATCCACATTTGAAAGCGGAAATGAATTCAAGATTTGTTTGAAAAAGCAAGTTTTTTTCTGTTCAAAAATCTCACAATTTTTATGAAAATCGGGTCATTTTAAGTGAAATTACTATCAAAAAAAGATATTTTTAATATTTTTAAATTGCGGTTTTTTTCGAGAATCCGCAATTTTTATCATGTTTTTCAGATGAAAAAAATTTTTTTCTTTATTAATTCTCAGTAAAATCTGATTTTTTTAGATTTTACGATTTAAAAAAATAAATTTTTTTGATAATTTGAACCGGATTTTTTTGAAGATTTTTTTCACAAAAATAAGCTTTTAAAATTTTTTTCTGAAGATTTTTTTCTGAGTTTCTTGTTAGGATGAAAATTATGTACTTTTTGTTGGTTTTTGTTTTTCAAAGTGGTGATCGTGTATTTATTTTTTCTGGATCTCCTTTAAAATTTAAAAATTTTTTTAAATAGGATTTTTTTCGTGTTTTTTTGAAAATTAATAGACTTTCTAGAATGATTATCTTCTGTTTTTTTGATGAATTCTGCTTTACGAACTGGATTTTTTTGAGGATCCCAAAAGAAAAAAGAGCACTGGAAAAATGGACCTTTTTACTTGATTGAATCGTATTTTATTCGATTTTTCCGGTTGTTTACCCATTTGAGCCCAAAGTCCACCCAAAAATTCGATTCTTAAAAACATTTGTTCTTTCTTTTCTTAGCCCTTCCCCAATTGAGGAATAAAAAAGCTCAATTTTCGAAAGCCCCTCGGCTCTTCGCTCCATTGTTAATTGTGGGCCTTTCCTCGAGAAGGACGGACAACCTTCAATTGTCTTTCTTTTCTTCCGAATCCGGCTTTTCCGCATGTTTTAATTCGTCACTTTTGATTGGTTTTCGTAGCTTTTTTTCGGTTGAAGTTGAAAAAATTTGGAAAAAACTTTAGTGGCCACTTGAGAGGCTCCTCAGCGATTACTTGGGGAGGACACTAAAGTGGCCACTAGAAACACGTCTATAGAAGCTTCTTGAATTTTTTAGTCGTGTATGTATAGTCAATGTTTCCCGACTTGAAAGGCGAGGGAGGCGGGGCAGGGGGCGGGACGCGTAGCGTGTGCGTTCGCGGTTCTTGGCACGTGTTCAATTCAACCGCCATCTATTCTTTGGAAAACCCGTTTTTCGCTCTTTTTCATTCCTTTTTCAATTATTTATTGATTATGTTCATGTCTGCATCAAAAAATAGTAGAAAACATTGAAAAAGAGCGGTTGCCGAGCTTTTTAAATAGTCGGCGGCAGTTGAATTGAACTCGTGCCAAGAACCGCGAACGCACACGCTACGCGTCCCGCCCCTTGCCCCGCCTCCCTCGTCTTTCAAGTCGGGAAACATTGACTATAGTAGAAAAACTTAGACTTCTAGAGAGGCTGGAAAAACTCTAGTGGTCACTTGAGAGGTTCCTGAAGTGCTACTTGGAGAGAACACTAAAGTGGCCACTAAAACTTCTATAGAAGTCACTATTTTTCGTCTTAGTGGCCACTTTAGTACTTGTAATACCGCTTATACCCCAAAAAATGCCACTAAATTGGCTACTATAGGGACCCCTATAGCGTCGAAACCCTGAAGCGCCCACAAAATTTTTACAGAGTCTTCTGATGAAATTTGAAGTTTTCCTTTAAGTGACCCCTTAGATTTTCTCTCAAAATCTTCAAGTGGAACCTTTAGGGACGATCTGCAGACATTCAACTTGGAAAGAGACTAGAAAAAGGCCACTTTAGTGACCACTTAAATTATGCTTATGATAAAAGAGAGCATTTATTTGCAGTGGTATAGTAGCACTGCTTAGACTTCTTAAGGGGCCACTATTTTAAGCCACTTGAGCGGCCACTAATTCGACTATTATAGGGGCCACTAAAGTGTCAAAACCCTAAAGCGGCCTCTAAAGGTTTTTTTTTCCAGAGTGTGAAAGTTTGAAAAAGCCAGAGTTGCACACTTGCGCTCCATGGAAGTGGTTTTTGACGTTTTTAAATCCTGCTTGATTATTTGCACAAAACCTCATTTTTCAATTACTCTGGCAGAAAATAAATAAATATTTTAAAAAAATCTTGATGGCCTAAGTGATCCCTATAGGGTCTTTCAAATGGTTTGTTTTGATTCGAGATTTCAATAAACGTATAATCTCCCCTAGAGTGGCCCCCTTTTCAAGCTATAACGACGTAGGGGAATGCAAAGTGGTCCTTTGAGGGTAACCTTCCAGAGACCCTGAGGCCGCCCCTCTAGTGACCACTCTGGCGTTTCTAAGTTTAGTATAGATCCTACTTTCTTTTTTTCTCCTCGATTCAGTTTTCTCTGAAAATTTGAATTTTTTTCTATCTCACCCCCCTCCGATGATGATTGTAACTTTATTTTATTAAAAAAATAATGTGTAACTTTTTCAGGATATGTGTTTATGCGGGTTGCTGTCCATATCGCACTCGGTTAATTTGGTCATTTGTATCGAGGTTTGTCCATTTTATCTCATTTTTCTCATCTTTTTATCACCAAAAATATCATAAATACTTCATTTATCCAAATAGAACTCTCTATTCTCAAGAATCTGCTTTTCACGATTTTTCTCTCTCTTTTTTCAATCAATCAAAAATGAACCAACGCTTTAGTTGACTTGAAGGTTTCAGTTATAATTCAATTTCTGAGTTTTGAGAAGTCGTCAATGTGAATAGATAAGGATAGAAAAGGCAAGGAGAAGAAAAATGGTATAGAAAAAAATTTATTTGGTATAAGTCCCACGAAAAGTCAAAAGGTAGTGGTTTGAAAATTTGATGAAATTTGGTATAAAGGTACTCTAGGCCACCCTGATACCAAACGAATTGAAACAATGTGCCTTTTTGTGTTTTATTCGAGTTTTTTAATGAATAAATAAATGGCAAAAATAAATCCCACCTAAAAGATTCGAACCCGCATCACAAGATCCACAGGCAAGGCCCCTAGCCACTACACCACGCTGCCTTCTGGCAGCTTCTAATCTCAAAATTCAATTTTTTTTCAGCTCAAAGTACCGTGAAAAAAGATACGAAAACTATTTATTGCTCACAACTTCCTCATATAGGGCTCAACTTTTACAAAACTTTATAGAGCTGATTTTTTTTTCCTGCGAACTGAAATTCCACCACAGTGATGCAAATAACGGTCACCACATCTACAGAAAGTTCAAAAAGATCAAACTCCACACAAGAAAGTTGTGATCGAAAAAAGCGTTTTTTTCGTATCTTACAAAGCTTTATTTGGGATTGGTGTCCTGAAATACATAAATATCAAGCTTCAACATTTTCACATCATCTAAGGCATTCCCCATGCTCAGTTGACAAGAAAGTTTTCATCAAGAACCCTGAAAATTTAGGTATTTTTCGCCCTGGTTCTGCTGATCCAATCGCCTGATTTGCTCACAATGAACGGGACGTATTTCTATTTTCTGGGCATGTTCGACGGCGGCGGCATCTTCTTCTTCACTCTTCATGTTACTGGTTCGTTTTGGAATTTTTTTTTGAGAAAAAGAGAGTTGAAGCTTTTGGAAAGTTTGAAAATTTCGCCAGTGAATAAGAGAAAAAAAAGGCCTAGCACTAAAGCCAATGATCGCACGAGGAATGGCTAACGCGGTTTGCGCGTCCGACCCAAAGCGGCTTTCGCACAGAACATACAAATTTTGATTAATAGGTGGATCGTGAATTGAAGAACATGTAGGCTTTTCTGAAAGTTGGAAGAGCCTTGAGAAACATTATTTGAAGCCATTTTTTAACCAGTTAATCCTAAAAAATTGGGTCTTAATAAGCAGCGCAATACACTAATTAATGAAATTACATTGGGATTTTCGGTGCATCATTTTGCAGTTAGGCTGACTTCAGTCTGTCGCCAAAAATCTAAAACCCTTAAATTTGATGATTTGACTACTAAGGATGAGAAGACGAATAGAAGCATTGAAAAATTTTATTTCGAAATATTCAAAATACGCTCTTCTTTGTATTCCTGTTTCCTTGAAAAACCTCATTTTTCCATTTTTCAGGCGCCTGCGAAGTCTGGTGGTGTCTTCTGACCGTTGAATACTACCGACACATGTGTACCCAGAAGCTCCAGCCTCCTTGGAGTATCGATCCGATCGTTTTCAGTAAAAATAGCGTTGTTTAATTTTGTTATATTTCTTTTCAATTTTCATCACGGGTTTCTTCACAATTTTTGCATCAAAAGCTCAAAATAAAGGGTTCGAATTTTTTTATCGCTTGAAAGTTTTTTATAAAATGCTGCGCTGTGAAGAGACATTTGTTCATTGAAGAGTTATCCGTTTTTCAAGTTTTTCGATTTTGGAAAAAAATCCAAATTTGCTTAGTTTAAGTTTGAATAACGTTGTGTATCACCTTTTCTGAGAATAATCAAGAATAATGTAACGTGAAAACTTTAAAAGGCATTCGCTTGAATTTTCAACTCAAAAGTTGAGATTTTCAAATTTTGTTGGTTACTGTATCACGCTAGATCGTAAACACCACGTCATTGCGGAAATCGCATTTTATTTCACGTGCAGCTCCCGCCGTTTTACGCATGTTTTAAAAAAAAAGATGGTATAGCTGATTCACGGCTCTCTTGAGCCATCGAGAAAAGGGTCCTGCCACGAAAATAGACGAGACAGTGCCTTGGTTAGTGGAGAGTGCAGACAGGCCACGTCTTTTTGCGTCCCAAGCTAGCCGTGAATCGTCTATAGTGCGACATGGGAGGTAAAAATAAAAGCGGGTCCTAATTGCGAGTATCAAAAAGGGTCGTCGTTTATTGCGCCGGGTACGCAAGCAACGCATCCTACGCGCGACGGTAGAAATTGGGAAGAACATCTTTGCGGACTCCGACGCTCATTTTCTTTGCTTTTTTCGTCAATTTTTGTTTAATTCGTCATTCTGATCAGTAATACAACATTTTGACTAGAACAAGAAATGAAACGGTCTTCAGAATTTTTGGCAAACGAGAAAAAAAATTTTTTTAATTAGTGTAAATAAACAGTTATAAAACTAATTTTTGCAATTTTTCTGAATAAATCGACGCGCAAGAGTGAAAAAGAAAATTATAATCCCACAAAAATTTTTTTAACATTCGAAAAAAATTTTTCTTCAATTTTTACGTTCAGCACTCAACGCCAAAATATCGTATTATTCATCAAAAAAATTAATTAAACAAAAATGACGAAAAAAAGCAAAGAAAATGAGCGTCGGAGTCCGGCGCAAAGATGTCCTTCCCAATTTTTTTACCGTCGCGCGTAGGATGCGTTGCTTGCGTACCCGGCGCAATAATCGACGACCCTTTTTGATATTCGAAATTAGGACCCGCTTTTATTTTTACCTTCCATATCGCACTACCATCTGCTAACGGTCATTGTCAATACCGGAACCGATAAATTCAGATCTCCTTTTCAAATTGAGTAAAATGTTTAAAAATGATACCTTAGTTGCAATAAAAATATATAATAAGATCGGTTTAAAAAAACGATTCCGAGTCATTTAATAAATGTTCAGTCATGGAAAATTGATTCCACAGCAGCTGTTTTCTTCCTTACTCAATAAAAAAAACCGGGAACGAGTAATAAATCTCAAGTTTTTGAAGACGAATTACTCGTCGACAACTCATTGGACGGCCAAATCCCGTTCCGCTTCTTCGCCTCATTTTTTCCCTCTTGGCGAAATGAGCCCCGAGGCGGTTAAATCGCTGCAAATTGCTCCAATTGAGCCGTCTTCTTCTTTCTTTTTTCATTCGTCTTTACTTTACTCGCCGCCTTTTTTATTGCTACTTTCCTGTCTTCAGCTGGTCTTTTTTTTGCAAAAAAAAGTTTCTTGGGAGGTTTTTTGATTTGAGTTGAGGTTTGAACTTTTAAATTCTGTTTCAGGGCCTTTTACTGTCCTCTTCAATAGATCAGGTACGTATAAAAATTTTTTTATTGAGAATTGATAGTTGAGAAAAGAATAAATTGCAAAAAGCCTTGAGGATTGATCCGTTGACTTCACCGTGATAAACTAACGCTTCATCCATTACACCATAAAATGCCTTTTTGAAAACTTTGCGATTAAAATAAGTGAAGAAGCTCGAAAAAGATACACTAAAAATGAAAAATAAAAATCGACAAAGCAAGATATTAATATCACAAATATAAAAAAAATCCATTTTTTCTAGGAAAAAACAGGAGAATGGAGGGGCGCGCGCGAGTTGCATTCTTAGCCCCGCCCATATCATTGTGCCTCGCCCATTTTTCCGTGCAAAATGAGTTTTTAAAAAAAGTGGTCCTTTTTCATTATTATTTTTCAAAATTTAACTTTGAAAAATTCCATTCATTTATTTCATTACTATTCCATCAAAAAATACGGCCACTTTTTCTCTTTTTTTATTTTTCTCCACAAGTCCAAAAAAACTCCAATGGCTTCTTTCGAAAATAAAAAGATTTTTTTGATAAAAAAACGAGGGTGTCATGAGAATAAAACAAGCATCTTATAAGGAAAAAAATAAAATCTTTACTTCCTGATTAAAAAAATAAAATTATTCATCTCCAGATTGAAGTTTTTTGAAAATTGAAAAACGCTGGTTTTGACGTTTTTTTCCCGAGATCTTTAATCTCCGCCCATATTTCCTGATACTAATTAGCTATATATCTATCCGGGTGGAGAACAAATTTGGAGGAGAAAAAAAAATAGGATATCTCATTTCCAATCTGGCTCCGTAGCATCTTTTTTTAGCTTGTTTTTCTCTTCCATTTTTTGGAACACCCTCCGTTTTTGTTGGTTTTTTGAACTGAATGAACAAATTTCATCATTCTACTTAAGCCTTGAGAGAAACTTGAATTGTGTATTTTTTTTTGTTTTTTCTTTCCTATAAAGGAGGTCTTCCTACTTTTCGGTTTGAAAATTCCTGAAATTTGGTCAGCACACTTCTTGATGTACCAGAAGAAGATCCAGAAAATATCAACTTCCAAAACTTCCTAGTTTTCGAGAAACAAAAGCTCAAAGCCCCAATTTAGCTATTTTTACAAGTTTTGGGGATTTTCTTCTACTTTCAGGTGTCCTTTCTAAATAACTTGGAATTTTCGCAGGTTGAAACTTTCAGGATCTTATTCTATAGTCTGTTCAGATTTTGAATGTCAAGTAGAATGACGTCATTCAAAAACGCTCTGTGGGTGGCTCGCTCTCTGATTGGTTTATCGCACCATGAGGGGCGGAGCTTGAGCGACGACTTGACACTCAAAATCTGAACAGACTATAGTACATCAAGAAGTGTTCTGGCCAATTTTCAGGAAATTCCCAACCACAAAGTGAAATGATCTCCCTTGCTAGTCTAGATTTTCAAGATTTTCAATAAATCATCATATAATCAGAATTTTCGATTTTTTTCCACTTGGAAGATTGAAATAAACCGATTTTTGAAATTCAGAACTACAAAAAAAGCCGATATTGATTCTGATTCGACCTCGCCACGATTATCACGCTTCTGACTCCGTACCGCGACACTCTCTACGTATTTTTCGGCGTCGGTTGTCTCGCCGCCTGGCTTTTCTTCAATTTGTGGGCCCTCAGGTTCGATTAGTACATTTCAACTTCATATGTAACTAAATTGGACCTTCAACAAAAAAAAGAAAAAAATATCAACTTTGATTTTTAAATCGAGAAATTTTCCTTGAAGCGGATTTCCACTAAAAATACTAATTTTTTTGTGCAAATTATAAAATTGCTTCAAAAGTTCAATAAAAAAACAACCTAAATTTTTTTCTTTTTGGCGTCATTCATTGAAGAAAAAAAGGTATCAAACTTCAAAATATCAACAAAAAAACCGGGGTTTTTTTCCCGTCATTTTGAGTCAAAAAAACAGTTTTTAAACTATTCAGTTATAGTCAGAAAGTTGTTATCTTCGAACAAAAAAAAAAAAAAAGGGCCTGTTTTCTCAGCCAAAAAAACATTTTTTTAAATCCTCGTTCGAAAAAGAATAAACACCAAAGTTTTGGTCAAATTAATGCACAGAAAGTTTATTTTTTTAAATTCAATAAATCTGGGAATTCAAACTGCTAAGAAACCCTAGAGTGGCTCCTAGGTGGTCCTAATACAGGTTAGGAAAAAATTGCCCCTGTGTGGGACATAAAAGTCCCCTTAAAATTTAAGTAGTCCCTTTAGAGGTTTCGGGTCTGACTTCCAAGCACCTGAAGCTTAAGTAGTCCCTCCAGGGTCTTTTTCAAATATTAAAAACTAAAAACGTATTTAAAGCCATGATCGGTTAATCCTCTATTGAAATACTTTTTGCAAGCTTCAGTGACCACTATAGGAGGAGGTAAAGTGGTCACTAGAGGAAAATCTTCAAAGGTTGCCCCTATAGAGACCACTCTGACATTCCTGAGAGTGAAACTCTCTTCGAAGCTATTACTCGTAGGCTTTTTTAGTCAACATTTCTGAAAAATAATTTTTAGCATGAACGAAGATTTTTCTCCTTTTAAAAATCTAACAAAGATTATTTTTTTCAAGTTCAGAAAAAAATATATACATATAATGAATCAAGCCTCTAATCCCATGTTTTCCAAGGCCAATTTTTCATTCCCCTCCATATTTTGGCGTCATAAATATAGGCTATAAGTAGGCGGGAAAGTACTACAATTTTCGATTCGACTAAAACGCCTCGGAAAAGACAAAAAGAATTTTCCCCCAGGGGGCGATTTTGGACCAAAGAAAAAAAAAATCTCGTGCAAAACAATTACTTATCCTAGAAAAAAAGTGTGGGTGTTGAGAGAAACGATGTTTCAAAGTTCTGGAGAGCGGGGAAATCGATTATCTAGAAAATCACTCTTAAATTTAGCATAAACTTTAATTTTTTTGAGAAACAAAAAAATATTTTTAAGAGGGAATCTTTTTGTAGAATAATGCATAAAATCCAAAAAAATCACTCCTAAATAATTTAGGCTAAATTCAGCAAAAAAACTTGAATTTTAAGAAAAATTAACTACTTTTAATAAGAAAAATCGGATAGAAAGCAGTTATTACCGAATTTTGATTTTAAAAAAGGACATGAAGTTTGAAAAATAACTTAAAAATGCCGTAATTGCTTTCAGAAGAAAATAATCAATTTCAAGAATAAAGATTGGAAAAAAAGCAGAAAACGAAACTTTTCTTGACGAAAAGTAATTTTAAAACTTTGAACATCAAAGTAGCAACAGAAAATGTTGAAATAAACAAAAAAAAAATGAAAAAAAAAATGCCGATCGATATTGTCCATAGAGCAACATTACATCATATTTTCCTGAATTTTGAGTGAACTGTTTGAAACAGAAGTTAAAGCTTTATAAGAGGGCGATTCTCAAAATTAATTTTTTTGTACTGATCCTGCGCCTTTAATAAGCAAGAGACTCCTTAAGTTATTTTTGCGATAAAGCTTGTCAGAATTGAAAATCGACCTTTATTGGTGATAAATTGAAGAAAACAGAGCTTTTTTCAATCAGAAAGTGGGCTTTTTAGTGGAAAGGGAAGGGGACCCTTGCGTGAATTGGTTCAGTTAGAAAATTCAAACAACAGATCAGGGATTTCATCGTTCATTCTCATTATTCTTTCTTTGAAACATGAATTTGAGTCAATTTCCGTGATTAATTGCAGAGAATTCTTCTGCCCTTGGTTCTTCCCGCCGCCGTCGAAAATGAACGAGAACTCACGGAGGGCCGCGGAAAAGTTGCTCCAACTCAAACTTCAATACGTCATACAGTACGCTTTTTTCATAGTTACGAAAATATTCTTTCAAGGGGCCACTACGTTTTCGATCCCTGCATTGCACCGAATGGTAGAGAAGCACTAGAAGAGTTGAAAAAAAAAATGAAAACTAGTCAAGGGATCACTTTTCATCGCGTCTAACAATTCACTAAAGTGGCCACTTTCCGGTGTCTAATAATTCACTTAAGTGGCCACTTTCATGCGTCCAAAAATTCACTGAAGTGACTACTTTCTCGCGTCTTAGAATCCCCTAAAGTGACCCCCTTCCCGCGTCTAAAAATTCACTAAAGTGGCCACTTTCTCGTTTCTAACAGTTCACTGAAGAGGTCACTTTCTTGAGTCAAAAAATTTGCGAAAGTGACCACTTTCTAGCGTCTAAAAATCATTGAAGTGATCCCTTTCTAGCGTCTGACAATTCCCTAAAGTGACCACTTCCTTATAAATTCTCAACTCCGCCCCCGTAATACTTATAGTGCAAAAAAGTGACGAGTTTCGGTTCCTCGTGGGCGTTCCAAGACCAAAAAGCAACAAAATCTGAGTGGCTACTTAAGGGCTCGACTTCTGGCGAGCGTCTGCGAGGCTCCGCCCCCCGACAGCCTCAATCACGTCGGCGATCTCGACCGCTTCATCGTTTGAAGCTTTTGAACTTATATATTATTTAATTTCAACTACCGACCTCAATAAATTATTACCTATAATATGAGCAATATTGTGCAATAATCAGAAAAAAGTTGAAATTTCGGAGTTTTCTCTTCTTCATTTCTTTGATGAGCAATAATAAACTTTATATTGAAAAAATTCTTGAAAAATGCTGTAACATGAGCAATAGCCTTAGATTAGCTCCGCCCATTCAGGAAAAATAAGAAAAATATCGAAAAAATGGGTCATCTCTCTAATCTGAGCAACATGAACGTCATCGAAAATTCTAAATTTGCGCAAATATTTTTTAAATTTTGCTTTTTTTTCACGTGATAAATCATGCTCAAAATAATAAATCAAGTTTTTCTTATCACTATTTTTCTCAAGGTTTTAAAATTCACGTGATTTTTTGGTGATATCTTAAGGTTCATTAATGATCCTTAATCACTTATTTTTTTGACAAATCTGGGAATTTTTTTTTTTTTAGAAGGATCAAAAATCATTACGAAAAAAATATAAAATTGGAAAAGTTAACAATTTTTTTGGAGTAAACTGGAACTTTTTAGTAAGAATTCGAAAATTTTTTTAGCTCAAGGGTTACATACAAAAAAACCAAAGACTTCTTAAGGGACTACTTGGAGCGATCATAAAAAAATCGAAGTGACGACTTAAGTGATCCGAAAAAAATTTTTGTTTTTTTACGCATTCTCCCAGCTTAAAAAAATCGAATAGTTTCTCAAGATCCCTCAAGTGGACCCTCAGTCTTTTCTTCGAGTCAAGTAGGCACTTGAGGAGTCGAAAAAGTGTCCTCTTAAGAACTTTTTCTTCCTAGAAAGTCTGAATAGTCATTTAGGACCAATTATATTTGATTTTCGTGTCGCAAAAATCAAAAAATCTCAAAAATCAGCTTTTTCCAGACCTTCTTAAGATTGAAACTCATTACTTCAAAAATTAATCCAAAGATCAACTTATCCCCTTATCATAATCACCTTATCAGTTGGGGCCATTTATTTACGTTCAAGCCCTTTTTTTCATTGTTTGGCATCTAAAACTGTCTGTGAATGCGGCCTCCTTATCACTATACGATTGGCAATATATTCATTTTCCTTTTTCTAATTGGCCCTATCTCCGCTTTACAGTCCGTTTTCGCTTGGAATATTGTTAGTGACGTCATAAAATGAGTAAAAGTGACGTCATCTTTCACACTTTTTCAGTCGATTGGAATTCCGTTTTACGGTTTTTTTTTGGACTTAAAGTTCGTCGTGACGTCATAAAAATGAGTGAAAATGACGTCATTCTTCAAATTTTCTCTAACCGGCCGTGTTTCCGTTCTACAGCCCAGTCTCCCTAAAAAATACTGTTAATGACGTCATAAAAATATGTAAAAGTGACGTCATTCTTAAATTTTAATGTCCAGCCACCCGTATTTCTTTTAGTACAATGACGTCATCAAAATTATTCAAAATGACGTCATTTTTCTTTTTTTGGTTACAGTAACCCTCCTTAAAATTGATTGCTGCAAAAATAAGCCGAAAAGTGACGTCATCGCAATTAAAATGTGTTTTTATGACGTCACTTCATCCTTATTAAAACTCATGACGTCACTTTATCATATTTTGGACCTATGACGTCACTAAATCCTATTTGAAACTTATGACGTCATTTTATTATATTTGAACTCATGACGTCATTAAATCCTATTTCAAACTTATGACGTCATTTTATTATATTTGAACTCATGACGTCACTAAATCCTATTTCGAACTTATGACGTCATTTTATTATATTTGAACTCATGACGTTACTGTATCTTAAACTTATGACGTCATTTCACAAAAATTTTCAAAACCTTGTAAAAAACTTTTTCATAGTCCCAGGTCCTACCTACTTCCTTTTACTCACGTTAAACTTATTAAATGACGTCATTTCCTCGGCATTGTCCATAGAGCGCACAAAAAACGCCGAGTTCATTGTCCGGAGGCTCTATTGTGGAACTGGAAGCCACGCCCACAATCTTGGAGTTCCAAAATCTTCCTCTCAATTTTCTTCCTTTTCGAGCAGTTTTTTTTTCTCAAAGAATTCCCGGCTCATTAAATTCTCTTCATAAAAATTTCATCGAAGACCCGAGTTCCATATTTTCAGCCTATTTTTCACTTCTTCGGCCAGCAAATGCGATTTTTCCTGGTTTTTTTCATCGTCACTCTGTTCATCTCTTTCACCAACGCCCAGCGAGTTTTCGATCTTCTCGATGAGAAAGTCAAGTGAGTTTTCGCGAAAATTCGAAATTTTCACAGTTAAAACAAAAAAAGTGATGAAAAATACAAAAAATCTGAGCGCGACATGGGAAAGTGGGCGGGGCTTGCCTGCAATCGCCGCGCGGTTTACCTCGTTCAGCTCATTTTTCATTTTTTTACAAGTTTCAAATTACTCGGACCTCCTGATTTTATTGTATAATTATTTCTTCAATTTCTAAAATTTATTTAAAAAATATAGGTACCGATTAATTCAAAAGCTCAAAAAAAAGTGGGCGGGGCTTGCAAATGGTGCACACTTTTCAAGATCCCACTTGGAAAAAAAGTCCCAAATTCCAGCCCTGAAGACGTCCAACAAGTCCAAGAAGGCGCTCTCGAAAATGCGAGGCCAGATTTCGATAATTTTGAAAGGTAGTCAAGTGGCTTGAGTGATAGTCTGTGAGTCGTGGGCTTGTTGGTTCGAGTCCTCGGGACGGGAAACGGCAAAAACCAGCCTACAGTACCTTATTACAGTACGATGCAAGGCGCCGGTCAGCCGTACCACCGGAAAATGTACATGAACGCTTTCCGGGGCCCTTCAAGCCTACTGGACATCCTCCGTCGTGATTATTGATTGATTTATTGATTTTTTATCGTTGTCCTTCCTTAAATTGATCTCACCTTTCTTTGTAAATGAAAACTTTCGAAACCTTTTTTTCAATGTTTCCATTGATTTATACAGTATCACAGACAGGAGATCGATAAATTAGCACAAAGGAGTGAAAATGCCGAGGCCGCACTTGGAATGGCTCGAAGCCATTCCAAACGCGACGATGAACCGATGAAAGTACACAGTTTCAAGCAAAGTAGGTGATCCGTTCGACCAGGTCGGGTACTGTAGGCTTCTGTGACAGTTGAACAAAAGTACGGTAGCGGCAGTTGACGCCGAGGTAGAGGACGCAAAGGACGGCGCCGCTCAGAATGCTCTGCGCTCCACAGACGACCTGAAAATCGAAGGGTACTATAGGATGCTGTAATCAGGAAAAAGGCATACTTTATTCAAAAAGAAGTCGAGATTTAATGCAAAACTTTTGCATGGAAGTACTCCCAAAATCCAAAAACTCTTACCGTAATCTTGGAAAACCTACAGTAGCCTACCTTCCAAAAGTAAAGTACACTGGGTTACTGTAGCTACAGTTTGAAAACATTTTCAAACTTCTGATAAGATGAAAAAGTAATGAAGATAAGCTTCAAGGTTATGAGTCTCATCTTCTACCGTATCATCTCAGAAACTACAGTAACCCATTCTAAAAGCTACAAGCTACAGTATTCAGCCATTCTGAGTCAAAACGGGAGGTTCTAACTTTAAGCAGAAAGATGTGAAGCGCCGATATCCAAAGTGAGCGCAGAAAATGAACTATTCTACCGTAACCTTCACGTAAACTACAGTAATGCGTTCATGAATCTATTACAGTCAAGCTACAGTACCCACGGTCGGCTAGATCTCAAAATCTTCAAAAAACTGAACAAAAAAGATACAGTATTCTACTCTTACAGTATCCCTTCTACTGAAAGATACCGTAACCCAAAAACTCACCGCCAAGGCTCTCAACCTCGTGAAGTACCACATCGAAGCGTGCTGGAACTGGAGCGGTTGCGCGTGGTAGGCATATCTGAACAGAATGGCTCAGTCGGTTAGGCTCTTGAGCAACAATCGGGAGGGTCTCTGGTTCGAGTCCTCTGCGGGTTTTTTGCTACTCACACTGCGATATCCGAAGCGTTCTGCATGCACATGAAGGAGCAGAATGCGGAGAGGATACTGCTGGCCATCACAAACGTTCCGTGCTGGAAACATTTATTTTTTACTTACCTTCAAAAAAATGAGGTAAAGGCTCCATTAAATCGGTGAAACACCTTATATCAAAACTGTAGAAAAATGTTAATTTCGAGATTTGGTGAATTATGACGTCATCAAGCCTTGCAGTGACGTCATATTTTATCAAAAATGAAGTAATCATGAACCCAGAAGTAGACAATATATAGGAAACAGGTAAATTTGTACAAACGTCTTCAGATGACGTCATAGGATTCAGATGACGTCATAAACTTTCTGATTACGTCATTTTAATAAATATTCAGATAATCAAAAAGACTTCTGAATCGAAAAATGGGTCTTGATGACGTCATTAAAAATATGACGTCACTATATCATATAACCCAGATAGCAAAATAGCCTCTATATCATGATATGCGTTGAAAAAAGCCCTGAAAAACCTGGAATTATTAAGAGAACCGTAATGACGTCACAAAATATCGAAAAATGACGTCATCCAATTGAAACTCACCACGAAGGAGAGCAGAAACTGATGATTGATGGCAAATTGAAGGAATTTTCCGCCGGAGGAAATCAGAGGGAAGAACAAAAATGACAGGAAAAAGGCAGGCCGCCGAGTTTCCCGTAGAGCCAGTAGCTCAGCTGTGGGTTGAGCAGAACTTTCTGCAAAAAAAAATGACGTCATTATAAATGATCGTGACGTCATAATGAAAGTGGTTATGACATCATTATCAAGGTGGTTATGACGATATTATGGATGTGGCTATGACGTCATTTAAAAAAAAATCATGACGTCATTATAAAAAAAAGTCACGACGCCATTATAAAAAAAAGTCACGACGTCATTATCAAAATTATTATGACGTCATTATTAAAACAATATCATGACGTCATTGCCAATTTTTTGAATGAATTTTCGATGGGATTAATGTAACTTTTTCAGTAACTAGTCGACATTATAAACTTTCAAAAACCTCAAAAGTCTAACCTGTCTGCGCCCTCTTCTCTCTCATCATGACCATATCAAAACAGCACGAAAACATGAGAGAGCGCAGAGAAATCAGACATTTGAAAATTGTGAGGAACGGCGTCTAGTGCTCATTTTTCATTGAAAAATGCACATATTCAAATTTTTTTTAATTTTCGATGGTTCTACCTTGTTTATTGGAAATAAAAAACAAGAAATGTATATTTCGTTTCGCTGAAACGTATATGAAGTTGGGAAGGACGAAAATCATTTAAAGGTCTGTTTTTATGTTTATTTTTCTCCAAAAAAATTTTTTCCTGATTTTCTTGGTCGGTAAAAATCATGACGTCATTATTAATTTGGTTATGACGTCATTACAAAAATCATCGGTAATCTTTTGTCATAACGTTGATTACTGTTTCAAGGCCATTTTTTTTTCAAAAATCTTTCTTTTTCAATTTCTTTGCGCTTTTCGCTAAAATAATGGTAAACTTTTGATTTTCGAAAAAACGACATTTGAGAAAAATTTGAAGGAAATTGTTCTTTATGTTGGTCAACGTTAGTGAAAAAACTGCTAGAATCAATTTTCGATCACGAAAAAACCCTTTCATGAAACCGAAAAGTAACATATTAACGTGATTTCTCCCTAATGAAGTTATTTATTTATTTCGTCCTTTAAAACTATTTTATATGCCCACTAGTTAAATTATGACGTCTTTAGGGTCGCCAGAGTGGTCCCTAAAGGGGTGAGGAAGAAAGACAGCTGCTGTAGGAGGAAAATAACCCCTATAGGGGTTTTAAGCCTGACTTTTAAGCTCCTTGAGTTTAAGTGGTCCCTGTAGGGGTCTTTTGAATTTTTTTTTTCAAAATTGAAAGTTGAAAGAAGTATAGGATGCTCCTCTATAGTGGCCCTAACTAAAACCACTAAAGAGGCCACTTTTTTGGACGTTAGTGTCCCCTATAGGGAGAGGTAAAGTGGTCCCTAGATGGGATCCTTTAAGGGCCCTAATTTAGCCCCTAAAGGGACCACTCTGGTGAATCATTGATGAATTTTTAGATCCATATGTCCCTTCAGATGCTTATTACAAGAAAAAAGAAAAATTACGCTTTTTTTCCCAAAAAATCATCGAAAACCAATCACCAAAACATTTCGACACCAATATTTGCGACGAAAAATCGCTCTTTCCACAGAGTTTTTCAGCAAATAATCGGGAAAAAGGGATGAAATGTTGTTTGAAACTTTCAAAAACTCTGCACTTTTGGGACTAAATTTGAAATTTTGAAACTTTTTGAAATTTTCAAACTCACATGGTCCGGAACTGTATAATAAAGACGGGAGGAGACGATGAAATCGAAAACGGATGACGTCAGACAAAGGCCGGCGATTGACGTCACCTGAAGTTTAATCATTTCACTCGAGTGATCACTTGAGATGATGATCCTTTAGTTTTTGATTTTTTATAACTCAAACAGAAAAACTGGAAAGAGAAGACAATTTTTTAAAAATTTAATTGGTGACTTTGACAAAGTGAGAAATATCACTCAAGAGAACCTTTTTCTGATCTCTTAAGTGATCTCTCGATTCGAAGGAAACTGAAGGGATCACTCTAGTGAATTTGAAGAAGTGAAAGAGGTCCCTTGAGAGGACACTTTTTAGATCGCTTAAGTGATCCCTTGAGTTAAAAACGTATCGAAGGATCACTTAAGTGACCTCGAGGAATTGAAGAATATCACTCAAAGGAACTCTTTTCAGATCTCTTAAGTGATCTCTCGATTCGAAGGAAAACTGAAGGGATCACTCTAGTGAATTTGAAGAAGTGAAAGAGGTCCCTTGAGAGGACACTTTTTAAATCGCTTAAGTGATCCCTTGAGTTAAAAACGTATCGAAGGATCACTTAAGTGACCTCGAGGAATTGAAGAATATCACTCAAAGGAACTCTTTTCAGATCTCTTAAGTGATCTCTCGATTCGAAGGAAACTGAAGGGATCACTCTAGTGAATTTGAAGAAGTGAAAGAGGTCCCTTGAGAGGACACTTTTTAGATCGCTTAAGTGATCCCTTGAGTTAAAAACGTATCGAAGGATCACTTAAGTGACCTCGAGGAATTGAAGAATATCACTCAAAGGAACTCTTTTCAGATCTCTTAAGTGATCTCTCGATTCGAAGGAAACTGAAGGGATCACTCTAGTGAATTTGAAGAAGTGAAAGAGGTCCCTTGAGAGGACACTTTTTAGATCGCTTAAGTGATCCCTTGAGTTAAAAACGTATCGAAGGATCACTTAAGTGACCTCGAGGAATTGAAGAATATCACTCAAAGGAACTCTTTTCAGATCTCTTAAGTGATCTCTCGATTCGAAGGAAACTGAAGGGATCACTCTAGTGAATTTGAAGAAGTGAAAGAGGTCCCTTGAGAGGACACTTTTTAGATCGCTTAAGTGATCCCTTGAGTTAAAAACGTATCGAAGGATCACTTAAGTGACCTCGAGGAATTGAAGAATATCACTCAAAGGAACTCTTTTCAGATCTCTTAAGTGATCTCTCGATTCGAAGGAAACTGGAGGGATCCCTCAAGTGAATTTGTAGAAAGGAAAGAGGCCCCTCAAGAGAACACTTCAATGATCTCTTAAGTGATCCCTTGATCTGAAAGAAAATCGAGCGACCACTTAAGTGACCTCGAAGGATGGAAAAACATCGCTTAAGAGAACTCTTTTCCGTTCTCTTATGTGATCTCTAGATTCGAAGGAAACTGGAGGGATCCCTCTAGTGAATTTGAAGAAGTGAGAAAGGTCCCTTAAGAGGACACTTTTCAGATCTCTTAAGTGATCCCTTGAGTTGAAGAAATATCACTTTGAATACTTAATGCCTGGGAAAGCCACGTTTAACTGTTTCGCTATATAACGGCACCGATATTGTATTGTTTGATCGGCAGAACACCACCCTCAATAAAGATGCAACCAGGCTGTTCGTGAAAACTTAAGTGACCTCGAGGAATTGAAGAATATCACTCAAGAGAGCACTTTTTAAATCTCTTAAGTGATCCCTTCCTTTAAAGAAAAAACGAGGGATCACTCTAGTGAATTTGAAGAACTGAAAAGGTCCCTTAAGAGAACACTTCTCTGATCGCTTAAGTGATCCCTGCATTTGAAGAAAAATCAAGGGATCACTTTAGTGACCTTATCAAAAGTAAAAATTGAAAGAAATTGAAGTTTCATAGACTGAAAAAGTTCCCAAAGAGAACAGTTCATTGATTTCTTAAGGGATCCCTTGATTCGGAGAAAACCTGAGACGCCCCTTAAGGAATCACTTGAGTGATTTTGAGGAACCTTCTCTTGAAAAAAAAAACAGAAAAGCATCGCCATAAAAATCAAATAATGAACCTTGATAAGAACAAAAAATTTTCCATGAATCCCTCAAGTCGCCACTTCGAATTATCTTAACTATTTTTTCAAGTGGTCCCTTAAGAAGCTTTTCCGAACTTTGTTAGTGGAGTGTGATACGTTGAAATTTTTTTCAAAAACCCGATTTTCAGATTTTTTTAGAGAAAAAAATGTATTTGTAGTTTAATGTCTCAGATGTTTAATTTCAGTACAAACCCCAAAAAAACAAAAAAAGAAGTCAGTACTAGAAAAAAATTTGTTTCTATCCGTCTAAAATTGCAATTTTCCTCTTCGGCAATATTTTCGCGTCAAAATGTGCTCCAATGATAATTCCTTCTAAAATCAATTTTTTGACTTTTTATTCAATTATTCAAGATGAATTGATTAATGTAGCCTTTTTGCAAGACTCCCTGCAAATCAATCAAAGTTTTCTTGCCTTTAAGTTTATTTGATTATTTATTGAAACAGAGATACGGTTCAAAAACGAAAAAAACCCACAATAATCAAAAAGTTGGCAATGAAGATCCTCTCGGTCGTGTGCATTATTCGGCTCTAAAAATTCGGACTTTAAAATGAAACATGAGCTAACATGAGCAACATGAGAGAAAAGTCAAAAAATTCCGAAAAAGGACAAAATGGAAAATCGGATTGGAAAAGGGAACGCCACGCGATGAATAATCGGCTCAAAAACCCATCAAAAACATTTCAACGATTAAAAATCTCGTCACGCCCACTTTTTTCAGTGATTATCTAATATGAGCAATGAATACCAGAAATTTTTTTAAGCCACGCCCCTTTTTTTATCGATTTTTCTTTACATGAGTCACAAAAAAAAAAAAAATATATTGAAGCTCATTTTTTTCATACTCAAAGTATATTCGATTAATTGAAACTTGAAACTGTCTGATTTCTCTGCACTCTCTTCTCTAACGTGCTCTTTTCATGTTTCTCTGACCTCGCCGACTAGAGAAAAGAGAGCGCAGACAGGTCAGAGTTTTTTTCGAGCCATTTTATGATTTATGAAGGGGGAAAAAAATCATTAAAATGATATTTTTTTGAAGAAATACGTGAAAAAAATGGATTGGAATGATGAAAATCCTTGACTTGAAATTGAAATTTTTGCCCTTTTTCATTTTTTTCTACTATATTGTTCTAAAATCTGTAAAAAAACTGTCCTAGTCTTTCAAAAATTTTGAAAAATCAGACTTTCTTCTATCAAAAATAAAATAAAAATCAACATTGAAATATGAAAATCTACATTTTCTTATCAAACTTATCACGGAAACGCTTGTTTGCCTCTCTTATCATGATTTTCCGTATATTTCGCTGCGCATCAACTCTTTTCAAGACCAAGCTTTCAGAATTTACATCCTGGGTGAAACATTAAAGACATACAAACTGAACATTTTTTTGGAATTTTTTCAAAAAAACGTCTCAAAACTGTTCAAAAAAACCTGAATTTCAGAACTAGTCGAAAAAAAAGAAAAAAAGGTTTGAAATTTGGATTTCATCCATAATTTTTTTAAATTCATGCTAATGAATTGTAAAGTGATACAGATGGATCCTTGGATATCTAATGCTTTTGAAAATAAGCTTTCGGAATTAACTTTCTGGGTGAAACATCAAAATCATCTAAAATGAAAATTTGCTTGAAATTTTTTTCTAAATGCTCTCTTTTCAGAAAAAAAAGCTTTAAAAACAAAAATTTCTTGAAACAAGCTCAAAAAAGGCTCGTAAAAAGGTCTGAATTAGTCCTTTTTCTTCATTCAAGCATGGAAAATTTGAAAAACGTGTTTAAAAATACGTAAAAATACGCTCAATTCTTAAGATCATTCTCAAAATCTCTAAAACAAAGTTTTCCTCTTATAATTATCGATAAAAACTGAACTTTCAGCAGAAAAACTTTGTAAAATTGAAGAAAAAAGGCTTGAAATAACCCGAAATGAAGTATTGCACTCAATATTCCACTAGAAAAGGTGAGAATAGACATAAAAAAGTTCAAAAACGAGTTTTTCAAATGATTATTATCGATAAAAAACAGGACTTTGAAGAAAAATGCACAAAAACTAAATTTTTCGAAAAAATGATTTTAAAAAACTTGAAAGAAAAGGCTTGAAATGACCCGGATAGACGAATAAATGACGAAATAAAAGTTTGAAACGGAAGTTTTTATAATATTTACCGATAAAAACTGAATTTTCAAAGAAACTAATAGAGAAAATCGGAAGAAAAAAGGCTTGAAACGACCCAAAAAGAGGTGAAAATTGGCGGATTTTACGCATTTTTCAGTGGTAACCAATGGAAACAAAAGACATCAGCGAGCCCTTCTCACGCCTTTGTTATTGTTATTTGTACACATTTTCATGTTTTTTTGATATTTTTCCAATCCTTGCTTCCCAAATCGACCAGAAAAAAACACTTGAAAAAAATCTTGGGAAAATTTGAAGAAAAAAAATTATTTTTTTCAAGAAGGCTATTTTTTTGTTCAAAATGTTCGCTCCATGGATAAACTTTCTCAGAAACTCAAAAAAATTTTTTTCAGGATTCCGACAAAAAAATAAGCAAAAAAATTATAAGAAAACTCGAAAAAAATAAATTTTTTCAAGGAGGCTATTTTTGTCGAAAATGTGCGCTCCATTGACAAATTCAGCTTTTTTGTTTTTTTTAATGATTTAAGGCCTGCTTGATGTTTTTAAGTTCATTTTTATGTATAATTTCAGTAATTCTCATAAATCCCCAAATAATTCTTATTAAAAAAATTGTGGCGATTTTTTTCTGAGAACCTGCGCTCCATTGACAATCTGGTTTTTTATATAATTTTCGTTGAGATTTCAAAATTTATTATCGTAAAAAGAGTCTGAACGAGCTTTAAACACAAAAAGAGCCCAAAAATTCCATAAAAAAACCTTTTTGACAAAATTTATCGATAGAGCGCACTTTCTCTACTTTTGAATTTCATTTCTCGATACCTGTTTCAGAAAAATGACTGGAAAACATCAGAAAATTGAGTCAAATTAACCTGGAAACGCATATTTAAGGTAAAAAGATGGGAACTCGACACGTTTTTATTTATTTGCTCTTTTTTCAAGGGAGTGAAGTGCACAGAAAAACAACTGAAATAGTGGACCAAAGGCGAAAAAAATGATGGGAATTCGGGTGAAACTGTAATTTCAATTTTGCATTTCTTTTTGAAAATTTAACTGCAACAAATTCCTAACTTTTCCGACAACATTTATTAGACATTCGTAGAAACAGGGATAACATCTAAAAAAAATTTTCAGTTTTTTTAGTGAAATGATTAAAATTATTTTTAGGCTTGAAAAAGAGAGAAAATTTAGAGTTTAAAAAAACATTTAAAAAAACACATTTTGTGAAATGTTGAGAAACTTTATTCTATTCAATTCTGAGCCTTTTCAGCCGAGATACGAATTTTTGAAGTTTAGAATGACAAAAACGACCCAAAGAGGTGAAAAGTCGATATTCCGAAAAACCTATTGGTTCTTGAGGGTACTGATTGGTTCTATATGAAAGTTGACCCGTGAAAACGTTAATAAACTTTATTTTATTTGATTCAGAGCATTTTGACCCGAGATATGAATTTTTGAAGTTTAAAACGTCTAAAAAGGGGAAAATTCGATATTGCGAGATACCTATCGGTTGTTATAGATGGTTCTATATGAAAGTTGACGCCGTGAAAACGTTAAAAAACTTTATTTTATTCAATTTTGATCATTTTGAGCCAAAATATGATTTTTTGAAAAAATCCGAAAATCGAGATTATGATCAAAATGAATCTATTTGGAACTGAAGCCACATAAAAATACTTCAAAGCTTCAAAACCTACTAAAACTGACTGAACCTGACCTACGGACCAGCCGATTGCCAAATACGACCTATAGGACCTGGGAAACAGTGAAGGTAAGTGGCAGAAGGGGGATATTTGTCGGGGGCTCAGGTTGGGGGAGCAAACAGAGCCGGATAACGGAATGGTTCAGTGGGTAGGTGAGTAGGTAAACAGTTGGTGCTGCTCAAAACAACCTGCTCCAGCTCCCTTTTGTCCGGCCGATCGAAGGAGGGCAAAAGGGCAAGTTTGGGGTAGCGATTTTGAGGTTTTCCCGAAGCATCCCAACAAAGGGGGGTAATTTCACTTTTGGGATGGGATTTGCCTGAAAATTGGCTAGATCACTCCTTGATGTACTAGAAGAAGATTCTGAAAGTGTCAACCTGCAAAATTTGCTACTTTTTGAGAACGGAGCCCTCAAAATTGAAAAAATCCGTAAAAATCGGCTTTTTGGGCCCTTATTTCTCGGAGAACTGAAATTTTGTACAGATCAGGAATTTCGGAGCCTTCATCTTATACATCAAGAAGAATTTCGACCGAATTTCAAAAAAATTCCAGACCAAAGTAAAATTACCTCCCTTGTACGGACAAAAAAAAAAACCAAATTTGACTTTGACTCATCATTTTGGGTGTGTAACTTGGTTCAACTACATATTTATTCAATAAAACTTTTTTGAAATCTTCATAAACCAAAAAAATATTAATATCTACTCTTGGAAAACTTCAGTGGTCACACAAGAAGTTCCACAAGGACTACTTGTAAAAAACACTAAAGTGGCCACTAAAACCACCTCTAAAGAAGTAATTTTGCGTCTGGCCCCTATAGTAGTGTCAGTGCTCTAGTAGTACCATTTCGACTCCTAAAGAGGCCACTAAATCGATTACTATAGTGGCCACTAAAACCTCAAAACCCTAAAGGGGCCACTAACCGAATCTAACGGAAGAACAGCTTCTCAGGGCTTTAAAAAGGCGTTTTTGGAGCCTATCCTTGAAAAACCCCTAAAGGGAACACTTGCAATCCCTTCATACCTTCTTTTTGAGGAAGTGCAGTGGTCACTTAAGAAGTTCCACAAGGACTAATTGGAGAGGGCACTAAAGTGGCCACTAAAGCCACCTCTGAAGAAGTAATTTTTGGTCTTAGTGGCCACTTTAGTAGTTTTGAGAGTCGAGCAGTACCACTTAGACTTCTAGAGAGGCCCCTTGAGTGGCTACTACAGTGACCACTGAAACGTCAAAACCCTAAAGCGGCCACTAACCAAATCTAACGGAAGAACAGCTTCTCGGGGCTTTAAAAAGGCGTTTTTGGAGCCTATTTTCGAAAAACCCTAAAGGGAACACTTGAAATCCATTTATTGTGAGGAAATGCAGTGGTCACATAAGAAGTTTCACAACGACCACTTGTAAAAAACACTAAAGTGGCCACTAAATCCACCTCTAAAAAAGTAATTTTGCGTCTTAGTGGCCACTATAGTAGTGTCAGTGCTCTAGTAGTACCACTTAGGCTCTTAAAGAGGCCACTAAATCGATTACTATAGTGGCCACTAAAACCTCAAAACCCTAAAGGGGCCACCGACCAAATCTATTGGAAGAACAGCTTCTCAGGGCTTTAAAAAGGCGTTTTTGGAGCCTATCCCTGAAAAAACCCTAAAGGGAACACTTGCAATCCCTTCATACCTTCTTTTTGAGGAAGTGCAGTGGTCACTTAAGAAGTTCCACGAGGACTACTTGTAAAAAACACTAAAGTGGTCACTAAAACCACCTCTTAAGAAGTCATTTTTCGTCTTAGTGGCCCCTATAGTAGTTTTGAGAGTCTAATAGTACCACTTAGACTTCGAAAGAGGCCCCTTGAGTGGCTACTACAGTGACCACTAAAACCTCAAAGCCCTAAAGAGGCCACTAAAAATTTCAAAAAGCGCTTTCCGGGCTCCAAAAACTCCTAAAAAGTCGTTATGAATAGCAAATTTCAACTAAATCGAACTCTGCCAATAGAATTCTCAGCTGAAAGGGCGTGGGAAAATGAGAAGTCGCCCGGGAAAACAAATAAATTCTCTAATTTCTTACGCCCTCTTGACTCGGAAACTCATTGGAGTAAAAGCCGAATTCATAGTCCATTCTAGGCTAATTCGTACGGGAAAAATACGAATTTTACTGGGTCATGGTACAGTAATCCTTCAATCGTGACAGGACCCCTTTTCCTTAGAAATTTTCAAAATTAACCAATCAATTTTTTTTTGAAACCTAAAATTGGTTACTCCATTACAGTACAATACCTTTTTTATCAGGCCAATACTTTTTTTACCAATCATTTAATTTTCTTTCTTTTTAAATAACCCAAAAAAAATTTTTTTCTGACTTCTAGTGACTTTCCTGTCGTTAAACACCAGAATAATCGATCTTAAAAAACGGCAAAAAAAAGTTTCCCTTGAGAGGATTCGAACCAACGACCTTTTTTAAACAAAACTCATTATTTTCTCACTGCGCCTCCGAGTTAAATCTTCATTTCAAGTGATAAAATAGATGTAGCTCCTTTTTTTTGACGCTAAAGTCCATCTTTCAATGTTTTATCATACTTTAATAACAACTCCTTCAGAGAAAAAAAACAGCAAAAAAATTACCCTCCACAGGGACCGATCCAGCGACCTCCCGAGCCATAGTCAACGAATCTCCCGCTGAGCTATCGACGTGTGCTTCTACACATTGACACGTCAACATAGAATTGCACGAAAAAAAAAATAAAGCCAAAAATTTCCCTTTCCGGGACTCGAACCCAGATCCGCATATTTCAAGATGGAAGAAAAAATAAACCATTTATTTAGTGAAAGCATCAAAACCCGACCAAAAAGTTGGAAATAGGACAAGAAATCTCTATAATGACAAGATTAGTACATAATGGGGAAAACTTTAGTGGTCACTTAAGAGATTGCTTAAGGACCGCTTGGAGGGGCCACTATAGAAGTTGCATCTTTGTGGTTTCTATTCGACTCATATAGTGGCCACTAAAACGTCAGAACCCTCAAGTGGCCACTAGAAACTTTCCCAGCAGTGATATAGGCAATTTACAGCCAAGTGGCCCCTACAGTAGCTCTTTTTAGAGGCCCCTTAAGGGGGACTTCGTGGAGGGGTGCCTCAAAGGGGCCCTAAAGCCCCTATTTTGCCCCTCAGTGGCCACTATAGTAGTTCTCTTTTTAGTTCCCGCTACTCGACTACTACAGTGGACACTAAAACGTCAAAATCCTATAAGTGGTCTCTTAAGCAGCCTTTTTAGCGGCCCCCTTAAGAGGTTCTCTAGGACTTCATAGAGAGGTCCCTCAAGGGGTCCCTAAAGCCCCTATTTCGCCCCTCAGTGGCCACTATAGTAGTCCTCGTTTTAGTTCCCGCTACTCGACTACTACAATGACCACTTGGATGTCAAAACCCTCAAGGGGCCACTAAAAAATCTTCCCCAGTTATTTTTGCAATTTACAGCCTATAAAAATAGCAAAATGAAGTGAAACGGATCAAAAATGTTGTTCCAATGATTCGATTTCGATTTCTTCGGTCGCCCGGCCCCACTCGGAAATGAACAAGTTGCTGACGTTGTTCGACGTCTCGTGGATGCACCAGAATGACGCGAAAAGCCACGAAATCAGGGTTAGAAGGTGGGAAATCTAAAAAATTGGACCATTTTTGGGTAAAAGTGACGTTGCTTTTGGAAGTTTTCGTTTCAAAAAAACTAATTCCCAGATTGAAAATTGGATCTTTTGAATTTATTTAGTTAACACATAGGCAAAGCCGGAAAGGGTGGAAAAAGGCCCCATAAAAATGTTCCATTTAGGGTCACAAAGACTCCTTTTTGCTGCCTTTCTGCGGCCTTTTTGCTGCCTTTCTGCGGCCTTTTTGCGACCTTTCTGCTGTCTTTTTGCAGCCTTTTTGCGGCCTTTTTTGAGCCTCTCCCTTTCAGTGGCCATTATCCACCTTTCCGAATATAAATCCGCTAGACTTAGAAACAGTCTAACATCTCTTCGCTCTCTTGTTTTTTCGTACTATTTTCAGGAAGCGTATTCGGTGAGAGAAACGAGTCGCAGAGAAGTCAGACTGTATGAAATCGTTAGAAAGTTTTAGAGTCTGTTCTCGCAAGGAATGGCTTTACGCGACAAGGTCGGGCTGCGATTAAAGTTAGAAAACGCGCAAGCCGTTCGAAGGTCGGGCGTACCTAGAGCACCCACACCAATTTTCCACTATTTTCTAACTAGCGGAACTTTTTTGATCATTTTTTTTCAGAACTCTTCCTGAATTTATTGTAAAACTAAAAAGGGAAATTCTTTTGGGGCTCAAACTTTATAATATCGAAGTTCTAAGGGTGCATTTCCCAGGATAAAAAGGAATTTTCAGCCTTTTTTCTCCAGAAGCTTGGACCAAAATTAAGAGTTGAAATTTTCGAGAAACTCAAATTTGGTTGTGAGAATATGGAAGGCGTCGAAATCAGGCTGGAAATCAAGGCGATGGCGGAGAAAAAGGAGCCGGCCAGGTCGAAAATCAGCTCCTGAAAGGCACAAAAACATCATAAAAACGAGATAATGAATATGAATCACCAGCTTTTTCCAATAGAATTTCTGAACGATGAACCAAAGGGATATGGCCGAGAGGCCGCAGAGGCAAATATCGAGAATCGCGACATCCAAAAGACCTAAAAAATCATTTTTTAAGAGAAAAAAAAACCAAATTTCTCACTTTTTCTTTTAAAAAACCTAATTTTTGCCCTAAATTCCTTTTTTTTAAGTTTGCTGAAGATTTTTCGATAAATTTAGTGAGCTTGATACTATGATTTGAGGCCGCTAAGGTCATAAAAAAAATTTGAAAAATGGCAAAAAAATGATAATTTCTGAATGCTATTTGCATATTTATTCTCTGATTTTGCATTTGATCCTGCGAAAAAAAGAGAAACAGACAAAAAAAATACAAAAATTTCCTGGACCGGATTCGAACCAAAGACCCTTTTATCGTGGTTTAATTAACTTAACCACTGAGCTACCTTGTTTTTTTAGTATATATAAATCATTTATTAAGCTTGAAACGTTGAGTTTGCCAAGTTAAACGACCAAAAAGACCATCAGAATCCCAAAAAATTAAAAGGCAAAAATCGATAATTTCTGGATGGGATCGAACCCGCGACCCTCAAAACCAAGTTCTAAAGCCTTATCCACTGAGCTAGCTGTGAGTTTCACTTCAACCTTGTACTATATGCAAAGAAAGACAGCAAGCGATTGAAGTTTTCCGAAAATGGCAAAAATATCGTGGGGCGGATTCGAACCAAAGACCCTTTCACTATGATTGGCTTAACCACTGAGCTACCTTATTATTATCTTCGATACCCTTATTTCTCTCAACAAATCCAATGAAAACCAACCACGATTTCTACCGCTCTCCTCCCAGGCAAAAAGTGACAACGAATACAAGATCTGAAAATGAAAATAAAATGTTTTAAAAAAAATTTTGAAAAAAACCAACCAAAAGGAGGATTTTTGTGGTGGTTAGGACGGAAAACGGATAAACGATCAGATATTTGTATGGTTTTCCTTCCGCTGGCATCACATTTCTTCACGCCAAGGGGGTTTTTGGGCTGAAAATGTGTTCCAAAATCGTAAAATTTATCCAATCAGACCACTAGACGAATTAACATCACGAAAAATTGAGTAGAATATTGTAAAAATAGAGCGAAAAGCGAAAAAATAACCGGCAAATAAAGAACTCTTGAAGGGGATTGATCCAATGACCTTTTGAGCAACAAAAAACAATGTTTTTGCACCCTTTTTCTGTTGTTTTTACAATGAAAACGCTCTCCAGGAATATCTTGAAAAAAAATAAGTTTTATAAAAATTACCAAATATAAAACAAGGAACATGAAGAAAAAAAGAGGCTTCAAAAAAACGGCAAAAAAAGTAATTTTTTTGAAGGGGATCGAACCAGGGACCTTTCGGTCAAGAAAAATCATGTTTTCGACTTTTTTCTGTTGTTTTTTCAATGAAAAGAATATTCTAAAAAGATAAAACATGTAAAAATCAAAAAAATTGAAAAAAATCTCTGACAAAGATCTTACTGTAAAAATTAAAGAAAAAAAGAGGCTTCAAAAAGGGCAAAAAAATAATCTCTTGGAGGGATTGATCCAGTGACCTTTTCGAGAAACAAAAAAATCTTGTTTATGGACTTTTTTTCTGTTGTTTTTTTACAATGAAATTGTTCTCTAGTATGTTCTGAAAGACAAGTTTCAAAAAAATTACCAAATATTAACTGAGGATCATTTAGAAAAAAAGAGGCTTAAAAACGCCAAAAAAAATGTTCTCCAAAGGGGATCGAACCAGTGACCTTTCGAGCAATAAAAAAATCATTTTTATGGAGCTTTTTTTCGGTGGTTTTTTCAATGAAAAGGTCCTGTAGGAATATCAAAAAAATAAAATATAGGTTAAAAAAATTGGGAAAAATAACGACAAAAATCTGGAAAAGGATCGATCCCATGACCCTTTTGACGTTAGAAAAAAATTCCTCTTTGGTTCTTTTTTTACGATAACTCGATTAAATTTGCTCAGTATGGGTCACAAAAAAATCAGAAAAAGGAGGGAGAAAAAAAGGGACAAAAAAATACAAAAAAATGGAAAAAAATACAAAAAGTTATGAATCCTCAGTATTTTCTAACGTTAACTACCTATTGAAAGGAGGCGAATTTCATTATCTTTCCTAAATTAAAAAAAAAGCGACTAAAAACTGGAAAATGAAAAAATGGAAGAAGAATAGAACTCGCGCCAATTATCCATATTCTAGTATTTTGCCTGTTTTTCTTCATTTTTTGGATTTATTCCGAGCTCAGAAATCGTAAAATTAGAGGAGAAAATCTGAAGAAAAAGATTTTTTTGGTCCAGAATCTCGAAGCGCAAGTTTTCCCACACAATATATATTCCTAGGCGTCTCCAGAAGGGCGTTAAAAGCGAAAAATGAACCGAAAAGACTTGAAAAAAATATCGGCGTTGATGTGGGACGGCAAAAAGCAGACGACGCCCCAAATAAAATTTTGGCTCTCGCCTCGCCTTTTTTCCCGTTTCAAAACTTTCATTCCGAGCCGCTACAATGTCGTTTTCGCTTGAATTCACTGGATTTTCGGGATTGAATTGAGTTGGAGTCGAATGGAAAATGGCAAAAATTGAGAGGATGTGAGTGGGATTCGAACCTGAGACTGATTTTGTGATAGTTTCAGGGATTATCCTTTCAAATATCAACAAAAAAGTCGCAGGATTCGAAGAAAAAATTTGGGACAATTTTGAAAAATGGCAAAAACGAGAAGAGGAGTCGAACCGTTGGTTGTGATATTTATGAAAAAACCTTTGACAAAAAAATCACGGAAAAATTGGAACAAAAAAATCAAAACATTGGAACAAGCTTGAAAAATGGCAAAAACGAGGCGAGGAGCCGAACCAGGGACCTCTTTATTAGTGGCTTAACCTCTTATCCACTTCACTATCATTTTGAAAATATCTTGTTAACGTTTCCTTATCAAGTAAAAAATCATCGAAAAAAAACGGCAAAAGCAGGACCAGGGATTGAACTCGAGACCGATTGGTCGCAGTTTTGAGAGCTTAGCCACTCGGCTGTCGAGTAAAGACACCTTTCAGTGGAAAAAAAACTATGAAGCTTCCACCGAAGAATGTAAAAATAATAGAAAATCGAAAAAGTGGAAACTTTTGAAAAAAAAATCTAGGGTAAAATGAATAAATTTTTTTCAAAGGGTCATGGTATCATTCTAATTAAAAAAGCAACGAGAATCTGGAAGCTTATAAAACAATGGTACAACAGTCCAGTAAAAATAATATTGTCAGTTTCACCCGAATTGAAGGGCAAGATGGGTAGATTGGCAAGGGTGACGCGTTGCGTATGCGACGCGGCTTTTTGGCGGGGAGGTCAAGAAAAAAATCTATTTATATTTTTTTGAACTTCTATCCATTTCAATGGAACCTCTTAAAACGCAAAAAAACAAAAATCTTCGGAAAAACCATCAAAAAAAGGTGGCTCGCGTTTGAGTCCGAACTTTCCCGCCAAAAGCCGCGCCGCGTACGCAACGCGGCTTTTTGGCGGGAAGCTCGAGGTGAAAAAAAGCTATATATATGTTTTTGAACTTCGATTCATTCAAATGAACCTCTTCCACAGAAGAAATATCAAATAAAGTTGGCTCGCATTTGACCTCGAATTTCCCGCCAAAAGCCGCGTCGCGTACGCAACGCGCCACCCTCACCAACCTTCTCATATCGCCTTTCAAGCCGGGAAGTTTAACTAAGTTTGACTACAACTCAAGTAAGAAAAAAGAGGAATAAAGTCCAAGTGAAGAGGTGGCGACGAAAAGGCCTGCAATTATTGCCACCGCCGCCCCATCATTTTCTTTGCCCTTCGTTCTCGTTTAGGCGCGCAAATTGCTCTCCTCCTCCTCCCCCCAACAAACAAATTGTCACTTTTGCTCAGGAACTTCTGGCAAAGCTTGATTTTGGGAAAGAAAAGGATATGCACATCATCAAATATTGATGAAAAAATCGCCATGGTTATTCGAGGAAGAAAATTGGAATTTTTGATCAGCCGCGTTGTACAGAGCAATTTAAAAAAAATTTAAGATTAAAGAATTTTTTCTGTTATCGAAAGCCATGGACGAATTGTTGAATCAATCGATATTCTATAGCCGAGTCGCACAGCCGCGTCACAAGATCAAATTTTATCAGAAAACAGTGAAAATACAATTATAAAGCTTCCAAGTTATTCATCTTGACAGTCGAGTCGCAGAATTTTAGCCGAGTCGCACAGCCGAGTCACAGAGCCGCGTCACACGATAATACTACTGAACGGAATGAAAGTATTATCAGAAAATCGTCAAAGTTCAATTTTAAAGCTTCCAAGTTATTCTTTTGATAGCCGAGTCGCAAAACGTTAGCCGCGTCGCTCAGCCGAGTCACACAAGAAAATTATTCATTGAGATCAGAAAATGTGTCAGGAAATGGTTAAAAGTCAATTTTAAAGCGTCCAAGTTATTCTTTTGATAGCCGAGTCGCAGAAATTTAGCCGCGTCGCTCAGCCGCGTCGCACGACAAAACTACCCAGTGAAATGAAAATTTCATCAGGAAAAGTATAAAATTGGCTTTAGAGCTTCCAAATTGGTCTTTCTCATAGCCGAGTCGCAGAACGTTAGCCGATTTCGGGTCCGCGAATATCCGTGAGCGTGAATTGTGCATACACCAATCATAATCTAGAAAATCAATAGAGAGGTGAATATCCTTAGGAATCATTTTCCAAGACTCAAGTTTTCAAAGACTCGATTCCCCAGGATTGGTTGATGAAAAATTCACGCTGACGAATATTTCCGTACCCAAAATTCCTCCCTACCATACCTTAGCCGCCTAATTTCTAAAATTTGGAAAAAACCATGATCAAAAACTGATAAGTTAACTTAAAACCTTTCAAAATCAAAATAAAAGGTTCAAAACAGCCGAGTCGCATAGACTCATCAATTTTACTATATCCTATTCAAATTTGAAAAAAGAAGCAAAACTTTGAAGATCCCCCATTCAATTTGCAGCGCGCGGCTCATGCAAAAACACTTGAGCCAAATCGCTTTTCGCCTTTTTTCTTCTTTTTTTCCTTGCTTCCGTCTAAAGATTTCCTTTTAGGGGGGAAGGCAAGTGGAAAATATGAATATAGTGGAGTTTTTGGTGCGACTTGGCTGATTGCATTGAAATGAAGTTTGAGAAAATCAATTTTGAACAGCTTATAAAAATATTCTATCGATTTATTGATTTTTCAGGCTTTACTGAGTAATGCGGCTGTGCGACTCGGCTATTTTTAACGGAACTTCGTTTTTTTAAAAAAACCAACTTTTAAAGAATTATTGATTTTTCTATGATCCTTATTGAACTTTTTTGACTCATCTAACTACAGATTGCACTTGAAAAGTTCCTAAAGTTCAAAAAAAGCCTGAGAAAGCCAAAAAACCCAATAAACTAACTAAAAAGGCCGGAACCCACTTATAAACTACCAAAAACGGGTGAAAAATGGGCGAAACCCAACGAAAAAAAAAAGAGAAAAAAAGAAAAAAGGAGCTTTTTAAAATCTACGAACTTCAAAAAGGGGAAAATTTCAAGGGTTTGACGCGGCTAACTATAAACTTGACATGTAAAAAAGGCCTTGACCTCAAAACAAGTCCAAAAAAAGCCGGGACGATCTCATAAACTACCAAAAACAGCACAAAAATGGGCGGAACCCACCAAAAAAACGGCCAAAAGGGAGCTTTTTGAAATCTGTGAACCTCAACTGGAAAAATTTTGTGGGCTCCACTCGGCTAACTATAAATTTGACATGTAAAAAAGGCCTTGACCTCAAAATAAGTCCAAAAAAGGCCGGGACAAGCTCATAAACTACCAAAAACGGGCGAAAAAATGGCAGGTTTACCTGATTTACTACCTAAAAAGGGCGGAAAACGGGCAGAACTACCTGATTTACTACCAAAAAAGGGCAGTATCACTGAATGAGCTATCAAAAAGGTCAGGACCCCCTAAATGTGCTAC